CCCAGTTTAGTCTGGCGCCTTTCTTCACAGAACCTAAGCTCCCTCATAATCCTGACACTTGCCGACAGTGAATCCCTAGATGCTCACATTTGGATTAGAGATTACAAGCGCTGCTGCTTTTTGCCTATAACGTTTTTGCTGTGGAAGAGAAGTCTAGTTACCACACTCCATTCAGGTGTTTGTACCAGGATTCTGGTAAAACTGTTGCTGAAATGCCAAGATTACGGGGAGGGCAGCATAAGCTATCCATGGGATAAGTACTTATGGTGTGTAACAGGGAACATGTCTCATGAGAGAAAGCAATTGCAAATCCTCTGAACAACATAAAGCGCTCCGTGGAATAAATTACTTTGCGGAAAGATTGCGATTCTTTGGAAAAGCTGAGAAGGAGGGTGACATGTATTACGAGAAAAAATATTTATATAGAAGAGGAAATTGTTTCCATGTGAATTCTGCGGGAGCGGTCTGTCTAAATACACTATGTTACTGGATCACAGCGGTGTCGTTAGTTACAGCAGCGCTGCATTTGTCAGTCTTCAGACAAAATATTTTTGAAAACATTTTAAAAATAATTTTTAAATTCCTTAAGGACATATTTCTAAAGGAAGCGGGAACACTTGGACGCTACCAAACCAAGCGAAGCGACGTCTTCCTTAGCCATCTTTCCCTTGATTGTCCTTACGTTATAGGGACGGTCGGGCTTGGCTGGGATGAAAGAAAACAGCAGAAAGTCGCTCTGAGGTAAAGGGAGGACGGTGCCGAGACCGCGGCGAGCGGCCCCTCCCGAGGAGCGGGGCCGAGGAGTGTCCCTGCCCTGGAGCAGGCGAGGAGTCAGAGTGGGGGTGTCCGTGTCCTCGGGCAGGCGGAGGAGCGGGGCGAGGGGTGTCCCTGTCCCGGGGGGTGTCCCCTCCCCACCCGCAGCCCGGTCGCGGCGGTACCGGCAGGGGGCGCGCAGCACTCGCGGCGGGAGCGGCGGCGCTGAGAAGGGGGCGGGCGGTGATGGGGGACGGGGCGGTGATCTGGAGCTATCCCGGCTCCGCTCCCCGCCCCGGGCGAGCCCGGTGTCGCAGCGGGCACTGCCGCGGGACGGCGCTGCCCGAGCCCCGGCTGCAGCGGCGCTGTGCCGCGGAGCCTTTGGGCCGCGCAGCCGCCACCCCAGCCCCAGCACCCGCACGGCGAAGGGTGCGGGTGCCTGACCCCGCCCGTGCTGCTCTGCCGAGCGCTTCCCGCTGCTCCTGGCATACGAAGTGGTCGTTCCCACGGCGCGCGGGAGGCGAGGAGTGAGCGATGCGCGACCCGCACAGGTCGGGGAGCTGGGAGAGCCGGCGGCAGGGGAGGAGGGGCGAAGCTGGGCAGCAGCGAGCCCATCTCCTAGGGAGCTGTTTGCTTCTTTGAACCTCACTTCTCATTTTGGGAGCTCCCAGGCAGAGACGCCGTAAGCCAGCTCGCCGAGTGCTGGGCAAACGCGGCTGCTGGGCAGCCTTGGTATGAACGCGCCGTGTTGTGTGAAAGGTGCGTTACACATAATATAACCAAGTGTATCTAACAACCTACCAGTGCCAAAAGGAGCATGGCTTTGTCCCCCTATGATTCTTTTGCACCAGCTCCTCAGCACCTTTGTTTGGTCAGTTCAACTCACAGCTCTGGCATGGAGCTAACCCAGTGGAAAGAGAAATCTAGAATGACCCCAGGAAGGGTCAGCACAGGTGAGAGGCTAAAACAGCAAGCAGGGTTTATTGGCAAATTGTTTCTGCTAAGCTTACTTCAGTGTGTGTGTTGAGGACACGGCTCATCTACAAACTATGCTGCCTATGAAAATTTGACTTTGTTCAATAAAGTATGTCAGGTTGTAAACCTTGGCACTAGTTACGTCAAGTCAGAGCACGACACTCATTTCAAAATGACTGCAAAATATTTTATAAACAAGCAAATACACAGCTGTGTTTTCTTCTGGCAGCGAAGTCCAATTTATACAGGCAGAAAGAAAGTAGGTAATGGAGTAACTGAAAATACAAGTCTGTCATGGGACATGGAGCTCTTAATTCAGAGGAGAAAACACTTTATTTAGAGATAAAATTGCCAGAAAACTTTATTTCAGTTCCAGAACATCAAGTTTAATAAAGGTTAGTCGTTGGAAACCAGAAGACAAGGAGTTAAGGCTGCACACCAGGGCAGAATTAAGATAACCTCAAACACCCAAGCCTGCTCTGCAGGCTAGCAGTAGTCACTAGGAGACGTGTGCAGGTGTTCCTGCTGTATTTACTCTGTCACCTGCTCTTTCAATGAGCAGAAGGAGGAAGTAGCTGGATTGTGTAGCAGAAATACATTCATGATGGAAGAGCAGCTTTGGGTGGAGAAGTATGAGTCTGCCTGGGTGTGTGGAAGGGAGGACTGATATGTCTTGCTTCCGAGCTGTATATCGTAGGTCATGTCCTCAGTGAAGCAAAACATTTTTGTCTTTTTTACCCTAGGATGCTGGAGGTGTGATGTGTACTTACAACTATGTAAACAAGATATTTTGATGGTACTCTGCACAGAGTCAGCAGCTGCGCTCCTCCTCTTGAGTGTGTTTGGAATTTCTCTCGGCTAGGCTTCCCAATATTTAGAAATCCTGAACAAGTATAGGAAACTGCTGAAGAAAGAAAGGCTGCAGCTGTGAGAACCTAACCATGTGAAGCACATTTGAACTGCCAGTAAGTGTAGTGACTGCATGAATCTGTAGAGTTCACAGTCATTATAGCCTTCATTAAAAGGGCTATTATTGCTGTGTGACATTAAAATCCCACATACTTTTTCTTTGTGAATGACTGTTACTAGGACGCTGTAAAACTAAGGATGCCAAAGGTTCAGAACTAGATAATACTTTTGCCAATTCTAGAAGACAGTCTGAAGCTGGCATTTCTTGTTTGTCTGGCATCCACAATTACTCTTGAATTAGTATGATTTGTTTGGCTTATTACAGAAACAGAAAGCGTGAAATTCTGTTCTCAACAACAGATGCCAGCGCACTGGAGACAGAAAAGCTTTCTGTCCTTCTTATGTGGTCAGGCTGAGTCTATAGTAATGAGCTACATAAAGGAGATGCCGTTGCCTACAAAGCAGATACTTAAGTTTCCATGCGTAACTTGCAATATGCAATAGCACTGTCCTACTGGACAAACTTTTGGGGTGAAGTCATATTTGTTTTCTTTGTAATTGCATGGATTGCCTCTCTAATTTACTTTTTTAGTCACCTTGAGCACTCCTGAGCAGGAAGTGACAGAAGGGTGTCATCACGCTCATATTGTCTTTGGCTTCTCCACCGATACTGTCAACACGCCAAAACGTTTGAACCAATTAAAGGTTTAGGTTGAGATACCAATGCACCTGCTCTCTGAACAATCCATTTCTTCTAGAAACATGTAGTATCTTTCACTTGGATTAACAGTCCATTACCTGGGTTGGACCCTGCAACTTTGTGGGAGAGCACCAACCTCGTGCTGGAGTAATGGTGAAGAAACCCTTGTACTTACAGAGAGCTGACCTGTAAGAGCAAAGTGGTTTAAGTCCTGCTCTTACTGTGGGTGAAGCTGCTTCCCTTTTCACCGTAGTCCTTCCACTCAACGTGCTTTGGACCTTTAATCATTCAGGCTTTTACATTTAGACCACTTCAGGAAACAAACCAAACCAAACAAACAAACCAACCCCCCCCACCCCCACACCCACACACAAAAAAACAACTCAAAAAAGCCTCCTACAGGTTTCTAGCAGTCAAGCATCAGGGTTTTGGGTTTGTGGGTTGTTTGGTAGCTGTTGTTTTTTAACCCATATGTGACTGTGCTACGAAGAAATCTTAATTAGTTCCACCAGACTAAAGTAAGTTGCCAGTGTAGGCAACAATTATTGCTGAAAAATATTGACATTTCACATTTTGAAGGCGACTTAGCCCCCCCCCCCCCAGTTAAAATCTGCCAGCTATCATAAGCATTTCTAAGGGTAGAAGGGTGTGAAGGGTGTTAGAAAGATTCATACTGAAAAGAATGAAACAATATTGGAGCTGATCCATGTATGATGTTGTCGATGGAAGGACAAATGATAGGGATTGTGAGTGAAGATGGACAGCGGGTCAGGTATGGACTTGCAGAAGGACATAGTGGGAACAAGGGCAGCACTTTAATTTTGGGTTGTGAATGTGTGTAGAAACATCACTGTGTAACTCCTCTCCCTGTGAATCAGAATGGCTAGAGAGGAAAGTAAGGTTATGTCAGTTTTAAGGTGAGCTAGTCCTTTGCCTGGCTTTGTTACCAAAGCAGCAGTGTGATTTTCTACTACTCCAGCAGGAATTCCCAGTACCTGGGAAATGGGCCGCAGAGCTGCAGGAGTGAAGTGTAACGCAGCCAAGGGCTGGATTCTGCCGGGACAGCTCACGAAGATTTGTCGGAGCTGCAAGGAAAAGTGTGTCAGGCATTGGTCGCATTTGTGCTGTCCCAGGTCTTCCACCCCTGGGAGGAGCTCGTACAATTGGGCTTTGCCCTAAGCCACGTTCTGCTTAGGGCCGTATCTCTGGATTTACGGCTTTTGGACCACTTTTACTTTCCAAAAGCCGCGTCTTGGAAGTGCCCGGGGACCTGCAGCGCTGCAGTTCTCGTTGTGCTCTGAAGCCGTCCCAGGCGGGGGTGGATGCAGTGGCTGTGCTGAGCTCCGGTGGTGGCAGCAGCACGCTGGGGGAAACCTGCTACCCTGCGAACACGCCCACCCCCCTCCACACCTCTCCCCGCTGCCTTCGAGGTCCCCGCAGCAGAGCGAACCTCGGCCGCCCGTCCGCTGCCCCCAGAGCCAGCCCCGAGGCATCCTCTCTCTCCCAGGTCCCCTTGCACACCACGGCGGAGCTGTGCAGCTCCCGCGGCTCTTGCACACCCGACAAGAGCCGCAGTACCAGTGCCTACCGGCGAGGCGGAGGCGGCCGGGGGAGCCGCCCCTCCCTGGGCGCGGAGCTATAAGAGCAGCGCAGAGCTATAAGGGCAGAGTAGCGCGGGGCGCAGAGGGAGCCATGGGGAACCGAGTCACCCGTGAGGACTTCGAGTGGGTTTACACGGAGCAGCCCCACACGCAGCGCAGGAAGGAGATCCTGGGTACGCCGGGGCGGTCGGGAGCGGCCGCCGGCGGGGCGGGCAGTGCTGCGCTCTGGGACGGGCAGAGACGGGGCGGGGGGGTCCGCCGATGTCGGTGCCGAGAGCGGCTCGGGGCGGGTGTCCGGACTGCGGAGAGCCGCGGTACGGTGGGCTTGGAAGGGTGTTTCTCGCGAGGGGTGCTGCTCTCCGCCGGCTCTCCCGCTGCGACGGCTCCGCGCCCCGGCTGCCGTCGGGGGGTCCCGGTGCGCCCCAGGTCTGCCCGGCCCGCGGGCTGGGAGCGCTCCCGAAGGTGCTTGTTCCCAGTGTCTTGGGAGAGCGAAAAAGTCAACGGGGATGGGGGTGAGGTTTGCTGGAAAACAATAGCGAGTCTCCCGCTGCTTGTCAGGGACAAGGTGTACTTCTGTATTTTTATGTCAACTGCGCACAGGAGTGTGTTGGGTCGGGAGGTTTATTCTGGTTTGGGGCTTTGGACTATTCTGGAGATCATTTCAGAGAAGAACTGATGATTCAGAATTGTTGCAGGGTATTGTTGCGTATCTCCTGAAGATACATTGACAACCTTTTATTAATAAATAAATTTTTTCCCCCTCTGTTTTCATTTGGGTGGGTTGGTTGTTCTGGGTTTTTTTCCTTCTAATGAGTAGGATAAAGTTTTTTAAGTACTTTTATTAAGAAGGGCACTGGAAAACTTGTGGCTGAGTAGCATTTCAGGGTACATGTGCACAGGGTATATGCTAATTAGGTGCAGTTTTTTAACTCCTCCACAATCTCATAGATTAATCCAGGATTAATCTAAATTACAAAAACATTTCCGGTATAGTTGCACTGGTGGAATATCCTGGTACAGGTTTGAATTACATCCAGAAAAATAATAATTATTTTATTATGTAATCATGGTAGAGAGTCAAATTATATCATTATAGAAAATGATGCTTCTTAGTGTCGTGCTACTCATCCTTTTGGTCAAGGGCACTACATTTTGGTGAGCTGTGCGTAGGAGTATCTATGGTGGGCCTCTACCTTTGCTAATCTCTTGCATTTCTGGTTGTGCTATAGAATGGGGTCTGCAGACCATGATGAAGTTGTTTATGTAAGGAGGTACTAGAGTGCTTTGACTCCCTTGCCATGGCTGCAATAAACTCTTTTTAGGACCTTTCAACTGCACACTTGCAGAGGTTTTACCCACCTCCCCTTTGGGTTCAGAACAAATGATTGGAATGAAGGTCCATCTCCCTCCTTGCAGTCCCCCCTGCCCCAGCTGTGGGAGCAGAAGGAAGGGAATAGAGAAATACAACATGGGAAGAGAGACGTGAAAGATGTGGGCAGAACAATCAAGGCAGAATGGATCATGACACTAGTGTCATGATACCAAAATGTTACCAGCAGTTACTGAAGCTGTCATGGTATTCTATATGATGCTGGTGTCATGATCATCACTGCATTATTCAAAGCCTGAAGATCAGCAAACCCCTACTACCCTAAATATGTACTTATCAAAATGTGTCTATTGAGCTGGAGAACACTGTAAGAATCTTATGTGCATATGAACAAATATCTGTAAATATCCATGTATTTTATGTTGTTTTTACAACAATGCCTTGGGGACAGCATTCCATGCTGGTAAAGGAAGTATTTCCCTCCAAATAGGTTAATGATTTAGTTGCTAAGCACTGAAACTTGATTGTTCTCTGTTTATGCTGCAGCTTTCTGAAGTGTTGGTCTCTCTCAGGCATGGCTACTTGGATTTAAATGCAAGTGGAAATTGTCTGTTAAGAAAAACAAAAAATGAGCAAACCGACAAACACACAGGGCAGTTTCTTTCCTTGGGCTGTTGCCTCAGTGTTCCTGTGGAACAGCTCAGAGGTAAAAATGGTCCATCACAAAGTTGTGACTTACTAGCCTAGGTGTCTGTAAGACTTCTGTAGTCAGTGACAATGTGTCTGAAGGAGAATTCAGTGAATCCAATCTCCCTGCCAAGGGCAGGGACATCTTTCACAAGGTGAGGTTGCTAAAAGCCCCATCCAACCTGACCTAGAACACTTAGAGGGATGGGGCGTCCACAACTTCTGTGGGAACCCTGTTCCAGTTGAGCTGCAGAGCTATGAGCTGTGTTTATCGACTGGGCTGGCTGGGAGGTAGCTTATGGCAGGACTTTGTTGTTCTAGATGAACCTACCAGAGATGTGATTCCTAATGGCTATAATTATACCAGCAAATAGATCAACATTTCGCGCAAGGGAGAGGTAATCCTTTCTCTGTTATCTCTTTCTAGTATCTTACTCTTAGAATCTAGGTATTAAAATGTAGCTTGTGTTTGGTACTGTCTAGGTGCCAACTGCTTCTAAGTTACAGGGGAGGTCCCTTGCCAAGCTGGCGCTTCGACCCATATCACGTTGTACATGTTCCTGAACACGTTATTCACGCTTTTCAGTTTATGAAATGGAACTGTTTCATTGCTATTCTCTCGCCCTCTTGGTTATGAAAAGCCTGTTACTGCCTGGTGTCAGGACTGAGATTTGTGTAATGTTGCAGTGAGCTCTGTTAGGGAAAGACCTGGCTAAAAACTTCCTGATGGAAGAAAAGTTTTCTCATCTAGATCTGTGTAGCCTTTCTGTATAGTTACAAAAATGCTATTAGAGGAAGATGTAGCATAGGGTACAACATAGAGGGGATATCTACTTCTAGTAGAAATAGGATTTCTACTTTAGTGTCAGTAAGGATTTTTTTTGGATAAAAACACCTGATGAACTATAGTCTCGCACAGTGGGAAGTATTGGTGATTTGTCACTCTTGAGAGATGAAAAAAGCATTGCTCAGATGCAGGTAACACCAGAAGCACACAATGTATGGTTATTTCATCTGCAAACAGTTTCCCAAATTCAAGCAATGAGCAATATGTTGTGGCACGGGAAGTGTGAGATCATATTTGTGCCATGGGTTGCATCTAACTTTTTAAAATTTCTATAGGTTGGTAAGAAAATGTCTTACCTCGTGGGATCTTTAGGGAAGCACTTGTTTGCTGCTGAGGATGAGGGCTGAATTGCTGTATCATGAGTTGCTCAGGGTAGACCATGAGCATCTGAATATGATCTAACATATAAGAATAATTAACAAGTATATAATTATTTCTTTGCCAAGTTATTTTGGAGTGGAGATGGTGCAAGCATTTTATATGTGCTTTATTCTGTAGGAAGGCTGAGATGTTAGCCTATGAGGAGGGGTAGAACACAATAAAAACCCCCAAAATACTTATTTTAGCAGTTAGCTGGACTGAGTATAGCTCTGCCCTCTTTTTAATTTAATCTGCTGTTTTTTTTCAGCTGTCTCTTCTGTTGCCTATTTAAACCTCACATTTATGAAAATTTTGATAAATTGTACCTACTGAAATATGCAATATGCATATCTCCTTAGCTTAAATCAAAGCTCTGAATTACATGTGCTTCTGGCGAAGAAACTATGAGTTTGTTTCCCCTTTATTCTGCAGTATGTGGGCTCAGTGCTGCCACTGATGTGCTTGTTCCCTGACAAGCACATCCAGAATAGCTGCTATCTCAGTGCTCATGCCAATTCCCTGTGGGCATCACCTATGAAATAAATCACATGAGCAGAAAGTCGCTGGTTTAGGCATTTGTGGTCTTCTGTTGAAAATCTATTAAGTGCAACCAAAGGCTTCAGCTTACTCCATATTGCAAGTTTTTGTTTCAGAGGCAGCTGGAAGCCCTCTTCCTAGCATTCCTACATCCCTGTGCTCTGAACTAGCTAACAAGCCAGCGTAAGCAAACATGTCATAGCTGCTGTCACAGTGATGTGCTGACATCATCCACCTCTGTTGACACTGCCAGTGTGGCATCACTGGGTACTTTCCCTCTCGTGGCACTTCTGAGTGAGCCAGCAAACCTGGACCAGCCAGCACGAAGCAATTTAGATGCTTGTGGGTGGCCTGTATAAGATTAGCTCATTTGTCCTTGCACAGTAGGTATATAAAACTTTAGTGTAATTAGCCGGGCCGAAAAGGTTTCTTACCAGTTTGCCTGCTGGAGGGAGTAAGAGACTGCAGAGCCAGAAGCTTTTGTCATGCGTGTCCTGTGTCTTGGTACATGTATGGTTTGAATTAATCATAGAATAATCTCAGTTGGAAAGGACCTTTTAAATGTCACCACCTTGCAATAAGCAGGGACATCTTCAACTACATCAGGTTGCTCAGAGCCCCATCCGACCTGTCCTTGAATGTTTTCTAGGATGGGGCATCCACCACCTCTGTGGGCAACCTATGCCAGGGTTTGACTACTCTCATTGTAAAAAATTTCTTCCTCCTATCTGGACTGAATCTCTCCTCTTTTAGTTCAAAGCCCTTGTCCTGTTGCAACAAACCCTACTAAAAAGTCAGTCCCTATCTTTCTTATGATCCCCCTTTAAATATTAAAAGGCAATAAGGCCTTCCTAGAGCTTTTACCTCTCAAGGTGGAAGAGCCTCAATTCTTAACTCTCTCAGCTTTTCCTTACAGGAGAGGTGCTCCAACCCTCTGACAATTTTTGTGGCCCTCTGGACCTGCTCCAGCAGTTCCATGTCTTTCCCTGAGGACTCAGGTGTGCTGTGCTGGTTTTTATGAGCATGTTCATGAGCTGAGCTGCTACGAGGCAAAACATGATCCTGTCAGTAAACTGTCTTCTTTTGGTTTGTTAAATTTTTTTTTTTTTTTTAATCTCCAGTATAGGACATGGGGTAGTAAAGCTTACATCTTGTGCCTGGTGTCTCTTATTTGTTCTGGCACGGACTCATAGTCAATAGGACATAACCCAGGACAGCAGTGTCACAGCAGTTTTTTTTTCTTCTTCTCTTTAACAGATCTCCTAAGTGCCTTATACTAAATGGTATATCCACTCTGACTATATCTGTATATTGCACTTGTGGTCAAAGTAAAGGAAAATTAAGAAATTAAATTTCTTCTACTAGCTTCTATTAGCTTCTCATGGATGTAGGCAAGGCTGCTGCTCCTTTAAACCTCTGTCACTGTCTTTATGGACAGCTCCTGCTCTTGTTCACTTCCAAATCCCGTGTATGCTAAAATGTGCAAGTATAAAGTATGTAGAGTCACATAAACAAGAAATTGTGTTTGGTACCATCACTGGGGCTCTTCTGAGTTATCTCAGGAACAGTGTCAGTAGCACAGAGGTTGAGTGAGGGTTCAGAACAAGATATTTTCTGTCTCCTGAGGAGGAGGAGGAACACCAGGACCTGGCATCCAATGGCCTCTCCAGGAACAGCTGATCCTCAGCACTAACTGAGAATCATAGTAGGGCTGTGGTGAGTTCTCCTGGATCTCCAGAGAGAAGCATCAAATTAAAAATATGTAGTCAGGCTAATTTGTCAGTTTAGAAACTTGTGCTGAGCGAGACCTGCCTCTAGAAAGGTGACTGATGCTTACATACAACACTGGAGTGATCTCTGTGAAATGTTAATTCAGTAAATGGGTTGTTTCAGAATTGTGAATACTTCTGAAAATATTCTTGCAGCATTTGTTCTCTCCTGACTGCTGTTCTTTCATCCACACTGTTGTACAAGTGGGAAATGTCTTTCATCATCGTGGAGCAGCTTTCTGCTGTTCTGAGGTTCTGTATAGAGACTATGGAGTTGGCTGAGCAGAATTATTAACTACATTTACCTACTCTACTAAAACTCCTCTGCTGCTTTTGCAGTGTGCTGACCTTGGAGACAAAAAAGTCCTGCTTCTGCACTGCTGTGCATCTACACCAGTATCCCTACCCTCCGAAAGGCAGTACAATGGCTCTGTCTGGACAACTAGAAGCAGCACATGTGGATAAGCTGTCTGCCAGGCTGAGCTAATAGACTTTCTCAATAAGCCAGAGGCTGAAAAATGTGCTGTGTAGACACCAGAGTAGCTGGAGCTCTGCTGTTCTCACTGGACTCTAAAGGGCAAAACCTGGTCCCATATACTCACATTGTGGGTGTCATGCCCTGTCCCATGTCATGTGTCCACACATGAACCCCAACTACCTTATCTAGAAGGGCTGAATCATGAGGTTGGGTTTTTTATCCTCTTTCTGTGCCCTCTTCATGCCGTGATTTTGCATAATGAAGAGTTAGCTCTCCATTACATCATGTTTTAGCCCTGACCCGGTGCTTGTTGGGAAGCAATGGACTCTGGCCATATAGAAGCTCATTGTTCTTAGAATGGGAAAGTGCTCAGGAACACCAAAATGGAAGCAACTCAGGGAAGAGCAGCATGATGAGAAGCTCAGTTCAGATGCTTCCTAGTGTCAAACTCTAGCAGCCTCAAGAGTGGGGAGTAGGTGTCTGTTTACTTCGCAAAGTGCAACGTGTAGAAAACAAAGGTGGTCTTTACTGGCTGGCTGCCAGAGGTCTGATAGTCCTTTGTGCCTCCTGGTTCAGCATTGCCAGTAGCCCTGCCTGTGATTCTCTGTTGCCTTTTTTTGACGTGCAGATGGGTGATGCCCGGTTTGTACACACCTACACTCTTTCAGCTAACTGCAAGGCATGAATGTGAGGGAAAAAGGAGATAAATATTTGTGTTATCAACATCTTTGTGTCAGTATGTTATACATAAACTGCAGTCATCAGGATCACTTAATCTGAGATTAAATGTGTCTCACCGAAGAGTGCTTGGCCTCAAGTCTATAAAGGGTCAGTATTCAACGTTCTGCATTTGAAGCATTTCTGAATGAACAGATCTTTGGCAGGCTACTCCACCAGCAGGGTTTTCAGCCTCCACTGAGCTTACCAGCACCACACCCCTGCCCAAGCCATGATTTCTTCCTGGGGAGAAACCTGAGGTCTCTCCATGCCATGGAAATGGGACAGGCTTATCAGTATTAATGATAAATAGCCACATTTTTGTGGTTTGACTAGTATGCAAAGATTTACTGGTGGAGAGGAGTTAATCATGTGTTGAATTTAATATTAAACCCTAGCAAGTTACTTAATAGCTGTCACCTGTGATAAATGCAACCTGGCTGCATTGCTGCCTGCACACACTGTTGCTGCTGTTTGGCAGCAACTGCTCTGTATTCTCTTAAATGGAATCTGTGGTCCTTGTTGACTGCCACAGAAAGAAATAGGTCAAAAACTTCCATTATTCGCAAATGACAATATAAAGCATCTGTAAGCAATTTTCCCATCCCATTAATTTTTTTTTTTTTTTTTTTTTTTTGGTCAATATAGCCTCAGTTTGACCAGGCTGACAAACAGATCTGATTATTTTACATTTCTTCATCTCTTTTTGTCAATTCAGTAACTTACATCTGCCAGCTGTGTGACTGAACTTTTGAGGTGGTTTGATTTATTAAAGAGTTTTCTGGGTTCTGGACAGAGCCCCCTAAGCAGGAGATTAAGCTACATAAAATTGCATATCTTTAACAATCTTGCTGACCAGGTCATTATATCATGTTATTCTTTAGAGTGGATGTTGAATAAGCAGCACTTTGTGTAAAATTTTGGTACATATTCAGGTGCCAGAGAACAATTTTTAGCATGTTAATTTCTCTAGTGTGAAAACTAGAATTTAAAAAAAAACCTGTGAAAACAATAACAAAAACAAACCAGCAAAACAGAAACCCTCTGGACTTTCCAGATATTTTTATCAAAAATATTTGACTAACTTTAAAAAGATACAAAATTTTACAGAGATTTCCCACCACTTAAAAAAAAAAAAAAATCTCTCTTTTGCCTGAATATTCCTCATGGTAAATTGGCCCCCTTGTCCTCACAAGAAGAATTAGGAATGTCTTTTTTCTCACCATCTTCTACGGGACTTCTCTAGTCTTTATCATCTCTAACCTCTGTCAAGCTGAGCTGAAGTTGGCCAACAGGCTCAAAGGTTGTTGGAATGGTTGCAGAGTGTGACCACATCAATCTGCTTCCTGAAGTAGTATTTCATCTCTCTGAAACTTCAGCAAACTTCTCAGGGTTCACTTTTACAACAACCTTCTCCGCATCCGGCACTCAGTACCTGCCACTGCTTGCAAGGTCACATAAACTATGTGTGTTGTCTCCAGCATTTGTTTATAGCATATGCAGCTGCATAGATGTAGGTCATTGTAATCTGATTTTATAGCATTGGTGTTATACTGTGACACTCAGATGATGTTTACTTTTCTATTCATTAAACGGGCCTATCAAAGTTACAGGACACACTGTGTAACCTCAGGGTTCAGAGCAAGTGACTTGTCTACGCACTCATCTGTGTAAGATGTAATTATTGAGAAATGCAGAGTATGAGTTAAAGGAGGGAGGGCAGGAGGTGGGTAAAAGCCATAAAGCAGTAGAAAAAATCATGTACAAGTTAATACTGGAAGTGAGAAGTGTGGATTTGTGAAGAGGAGATGTGTATCAATAAACAGCACCGAGAGGATAAGCTGTATTCTGTATTTTCTTTCTTCTAAATGGAAGATGAATGGCTGCTGGAACCAAAGATAAGTAAGCTAGTCCTGGCCTGACATGAGTCAGACCTGGCAAGCCTAGCCCATGTCTCTCTGACATTGCTGTAGTTGTGAGGCCTCATGAAGCTGTTGTGTGATTATCTTGTGGCTTTTATGTCTGCTTTAGGTATGTGACATGGGAACAGAGAAAAATTTTCTGTGTCTTACAAATCCTGATATTATTAGTGACTTGTTACCATGTGTGAAGAGTTGTACGTGTTGTGAGCACTGGTAAACACTCAGATAATTAGGAATTTTTTTTAAAATGCTGCGTTTGTCATCTAACCACAGAGCAAAACCTGGTGAGCCTGTTGCTCAGCTCTCTTTCCTCTGCTAATATGTTTGAAGCAGCAGTGTGAAAAGGGCTGCGAAGAAGGCAGTTGTATCACTTCTGTGGAAAAAAAAAATCTAATCTGAGCAAAACACAAAAGGAAATAAAAAACTTGACATAAGGTGCTTCTTAGCACTTAAATTGTGGTTTTTGGCATGCTAATAATGTGAAGCAATACTTGTGGTGAAGGCATGTGATGCCACAGACTGACCATCAGGGTATTTTTTTTCACTGTGTCTGTATATGTCTATATATATCGATATCAATCACAATTTGACATGATGCTGGAAGTGGGAATGAAGCCCATATGTTAATAAAGCTTTCATCATAGTGGCAACCCTACTTTGGAATTACCGTTTTATAAAACTAGAGCCTCAGTGTGACAAAAACAGAGTCCCAGTGGTGATTGTGTTTACCTAACCATGATCTAATCAAGTTTTTCTCTGCATTTTTTCCTCTAGCAAAGTATCCAGAGATCAAGACACTGATGGGACCTGATCCACATTTAAAGTGGATTGTATCTGGAATGGTTTTCGTGCAGCTGCTGGCATGCTACCTGGTGAAAGACTTATCTTGGAAATGGATTTTCTTCTGGGCTTACGGTTTTGGGGGTTGCATCAACCATTCACTGACCTTAGCCATCCATGATATTTCACACAACGTTGCCTTTGGGAACAAGCAGGCCAAGTGGAACCGATGGTTCGCAGTCTTTGCCAACTTGCCGATTGGCATCCCTTACTCTGCCTCCTTCAAGAAATACCACATTGACCACCACCGGTACCTGGGAGGGGACAGCTTGGATGTGGACATTCCCACAGACTTTGAAGGCTGGTTTTTCTGTACACCCCTTCGGAAACTGCTTTGGCTTTTCCTCCAGCCTCTCTTCTACAGTCTGAGGCCACTGTATGTGAACCCCAAAGCAATTACACGGATGGAAATTTTCAATGCCCTTGTGCAGTTTTCTGTAGACCTTATAATTTATTACCTTTGGGGACTCAAACCTGTTATTTACTTAATAGCAGGTACAATTCTTTGCTTGGGTTTACATCCCATTTCTGGGCATTTCATAGCAGAACACTACATGTTCTTAAAAGGCTATGAGACGTACTCTTATTATGGACCTCTGAATTGGCTCACCTTTAATGTAGGATACCACATGGAGCATCATGACTTCCCCAGCATTCCTGGATGCAGATTGCCCATGGTAAGTATGGCATAAGTATGCATGAGTTAGATTTTTATAAAAGCTGCTAAACTGTCCCAAAGAAAACACTCCAAATCATAGCAATTGATCAATTCAAGAAAAAAAAAACCCTTAAAAAAAAAGAAGAAAGCTTTTTGGATTTGTTTCTAATTAATTTTAAGCCAGATCTTGAGAAAAATGGCTGTCGAACTGCTGTAATATCTAGTTTATTTGATGCAAACTAGAACATCTGACCCTCAGAGGGCTTGAGAAATCCTTTTAGCATGATAAAATCCTCCAATAAGGCTCTAAATTTCTCCGTTTACATCTCTCAGCCAAGAAGTTGCAACCCTTTGAAAGTTTAAAGGCCTATCTAAAGGGAGGCAGGTGGCAATTACTACTTGAAATTTGTCTAATAATCAATCTGCTACCTATATTGCTTGATTAACATCAAAGAGAAGCTTTTCTATTTTTGAGATGACATAAGTACTGGGGCATGTTCCAGCCTGACACAAATGGCACTAGAAAACAAAGCCCTGCTCTCCGTGACTCGTTTTAGCTCTGCTGCCCCACCCACAGAAACTGAAGAGGCCTGGTCTGTCATTGGGAAAGTGCTGTGGCTTTCCTCCTTTGAAAGGCAAACCCCTTTTTGTGTATGTTTTATCAGTTGTGGGAATCAAATTTGCAAAGCCCAGGTGTCTAGGAAAGGTTTTCAATCTCCCTGCAGGTATCTAGCTGCTCTTGTGTGTTTTAATACGAGGGTTCCTCAGCAGGTGCTCGCGGTGTTAGAGGTGCGTGACTTTGCAGTATTACTCCTACATATAAATTCTCTGGCATAGTAGGAAGGAAATGTCTTCTGTCTCTGGGCTGATGCAGAGTTGGGGACTACTACTGCAATATCCTCATGAGGTGGAGGTAGAGCTGAGGAGTCTGAGGTTCAGTGGCTGTGACTTCCCTACTACTGAATAGCACGTACAACTCGTATGGTGGTATATCCAGGCAAACCCTGCCATATGGAGTAATGTTCTTCATCACAGAAATGCTGTCTGAGAGGAGACTCAAATCAAGGGGAGGTTTTCTTGGGGCACAAAAGAGAGTGGGAAGCCTCTATAGTGCCTGCAGTTCTGTTTTCATTCACCACCTTTGGTGCTGGGGGTCTGTCCTGGAGAAGCTGCCTGTTCTGGCGGGCACAGAGCAGCTGGTACAGCAGCCCACACTCAGATGTGAAGTTCTCCTGTCAGGCACTCCCATCACTGATACACTGATAGTTCATCTGGGAAGTGCATGGGCTTAGCTGTAGTTTCAAATGTTCAAACTTGTTAGATAGGCTTAGATACTTAGATTACCGAAATGTAAATAGAGGAAGAGAAGGAGGTTAGCTCTGTATCCTGCACAAGGGAGGTGAGTGACTAATTGAACTTGCTGGGACTGTTGCTCCAGACCTGATTGAGACCTAAAAAGCTCTTCTCCACCCACACCACAAATAGTTCAGCCTAATTCCTTGAGGCAATGCAGCAGCTGGAAGTATTTGCCCTCCTGTGTAAAGAAGATAGAGCTGTCAGTTGAATTTCATGGGCTTGTGTTCATGTGTGTTTTGCTCTTGGGTGAAACAGAGGCTTGCCCTGCTGGTGGAGGAGACACCAGACTTGTCAATTACTGTTACCCTCCAGAACCATATTTAACACTTGGAATCTTTGACGAGGGATTAATTGCAGTTAAAAATTCTATTAAAAAATGAAAATTCTTTGGCAAAATGGTTACTGTAGAAAATCCTTTGTCCATTAAAACAAGTTGATTACTCTTTTCTGCAAAATGAGAAAAAAATATCTCCACCTCTTTGGTGGAAAGAAATAAGGAAACAGATCCTTGCTGGTTAGCTTTCAACCTTGAACTCCATAACAGGTAAGAAACCTCACCTTATTCTACATTGCTTCACCTCCCAGCAAATTCTTCTCTCAGCAAAGGTCTAGTTTTTTCAGATCTTGTCTTTTAGGCACTTGAACTTGAAATAATTGAATTGTGTAATATGGATGACCTCTCAATGAGGCTATTTTTATTTTTAATCATTGACAAGTAGAAAGTGGAATAAAGATCTTTATTTGGTTCCTGCATGATTGAGTGCAGGGGAGAAATGGGATTAGAGAATAACTGGATCTTAATCTTGGAAAGTAACTGGCTCTTCAGCTTGCTTATCAGGAAAGTAAATTCAGCTTTGTCCTTTGTTACAGGTGTGTCATTCAGAACGTTCTGAGTAATGTGTTTGCTGCTGGAAAGACCTTTACCCTAGGAGTACGACAGATTTGAAAGAGGAAGAATTAGGCTGTGCTCATAAGTTTATGGATATTAAAGATGAGTGACATGGGTGTGCAGTAAGAACTTGTCCCTCTAGTATAATAAGAGATTACACAAGAGACCATGAAATTTAACATGGTAATGAAGGACCTGCTCTAAAAAAACACCCCTATAGACTTAGAACTAAATTGGTTTTTGCATGAAGCCTTATAACTATAAAACATTGCATTATTTACCAAATGATTAAAAAAGATCCATTCTTCATTTTATGAAGGATTGAATATACTTATGGAGACAGGAGATTGGAAAAGGAGGAGGAACTCAGTACTGATCCTAGAAGCTGCAACAAAGCAGCAGTGTTACCGGAGGCAAACTAGTTACTCATTAAGCTTGTGGGAAAAGGAAAAGACATGGTATGAAACCAGATTTATTGGATAGACAAGACTGGAAAACATGGTAGATGTGCTGGGTTTGACTTGCAGATTTCATTAACCCTACAACGGCCAGGAGGGCTGGCTTGAGTGCCCCCCAGCCCCTGGTGGGGTTACAGGACTGTAGAGGGAACTCCTGTTATATGCCTTCTAGAATTCTAAACAAGATTCTACAGTTTCATGTTGTAAGGATCTCTAGTTTCTGTGTAGCCCCAGGACAAAGAGTCTGTAACAACTGTGCTGCAATACTAGGCTGGGAAATAACTTTTTGCCTATCAGATATGATGGAGTAGGATTGGGGTCCTGTCAATGTGCTCTACAAGCACAAAACCAGAAGCAAAGCTTCAGTCTAAAAGATGTGATTTCTTACCCTACCACCTTGAGCTATTTGAAGAAAAGCCTCAATATACCAGGTGCTAAGTGCCTAGTAATTGTCTTGCAGACTTTGTGAGCTCTTGTTATCCTTCCCTGGTATCTTCCATTCACAAACTAGCAATGAGTTAAGACTTACAGCTGAGATTTGTAAGGAGGAAGGGTGGGAGGAATTGAAGCAAAGGGACCATCTACAATACAATATGGAAAGCTTGAGGAGCAGGATTTAGGAGTACTTTGTCTCAGTACCATCTTCTTTTAATACAATCTATGATCTGTCTGCAAAACTTGCTACCTGGTAACTGCCATCCTGAGGTTTTGTACTGCACCCAGAATCTGACACAGAGGGTGTCTCTTCCAGCCTCAAACATACTTTATAGATATAAAATCATAGAATCCTTAAGGTTAGAAAAGATCTCCAAGATCATCAGGTCCAAACTTGGACTGAACATCACCGTATCAACTAAACCATAGCACTTAGTGCCAAATCAAGTCATTTCTTGAACACTTCCAGGGACGATGACTCCACCACTTCCCTAGGCAGCCTATTCCAATGCTTGAAACTCTTTCAGCAAAGAATTCTTCCTGATGTCCAATTTGAATCTCCTCTGAAACAGCTTGAGGTAATTTCCTCTTGTCCTGTTGCTGGTTGCCTGGGAGAAGAAAGCAACCCCCACCTTGCTACAACATCCTTTCAGGTAGTTGTGGACAGGGATAAAGTCTCCCCGAGCCTCCTTTTCTCCAGGCTAAACAAATGCAGCTTCCTCAGCCACTCCTTATATGATACTGCATTTAAAAGAGAATCTGCATTAAACCCCAATTACTTTCTGTCCTCCCACCACTCATATTTTCTGGTAGATAAGGAGATAATTCTGTTTTACATATGGAGATGCTGAAGGAAATTACAACAAATGAGATGTTTTTGTTGGGAAACTTTTGCGGATCCATTGTACGAGAGAAACCACTTCTAAAATTCTTTCTTGCCACGTGAAAGCAAAATGGGAACAAATTTCCTTGTCTTTTCCATAAGAAAATATTTCAAAGTCCTCCAACTGCATTAATTAAATTTTCTCTGTTCTCCATTCCTTACTGCACTTTACCTTCTCTTCTCCAGTGTTTCTGACCATTTCATACAGCTGTCCTGCCCAGAGCACAAAGACCTTGCAAGTGGTGCCTGCCTTCCTGCACAAGGTGCTGCTGGACACAAAACCAAGCAGAGCCAAGAAACACTTTGTGTAGGTGTGAATCACTGTCCCACTGCTGACCTGGGGTGCCACACTCCAGTGCAAGCCCCTGGTCATCTCTTGTGACCTCCTCATCCAAAACGAGCTACCACCATACTCTGTGGGAAGGTGCTGAACAAGCACCCTTGCTGAACAAACAATTGCTCCACCACCTGATGCTGGCCAGCAGCTTGCCAGATGCGGCTGGGCTGCCTGCCTCCAGCATATTGTGTATGGGATCTCTTTTATAATTTACTGCTTGGTATTTTGATTAATCATCTTAATTGTCAAAGAATACTGTATTATACATGCCTGTTTTAAGTCTGCAATGCAACTGCAGAATATGTGTATGGAATGTATCAAAGTGAAATTTTTCAGACATACATGTTGTGTCCACCTGAGCTCTTCAGGAATATGCCCAGACTAAACTGCTGTTCACATTTGCAGAAACTATTGGGCTGAATGTAGGCAGGCTGTTTATTGGCCTCTTCTCTGAGCCATTTTTTCCTATATTGTCCCTGGGGTAATTTTTAGTTAGCCTGTGGAGCCAGAGGACACAGCTGCTGCTACCTGAGACATTGTTCTTAGGAGCTGAATTGGTTTCTACGAATCTCCAGCCTTCCAATTCCATGGGGCAATACAGAAAAACTTCATGAAGGTGAAGCTCTTGTAGTGGTCAGAATTTAAGATCAAGAGCTCTGCACAATAATGTAAATAGCTGAGAAAACATGTCTGGTTCAGAGGGAAAGAAATATATTGGGCCTTTGGAGAAAAGAGGAATGGTAGACTTGCCATATAAACTTGACTAGCATAGGTGAGGGCTGAATTACTGCTGAAAGTCAAAATTCAGGCAGAACTTCTAAAATGGAGGTAGGAGGCAAGGTCTAAGAAGCAGTATGATAGGAAATGACCCTGTCAGAGCTGTAGTGAAGCTTTTGGGGCTGGGTATCTGAGACCCTTTTTGTGTTTGCATCACGCTTTCTGAGTGGCCTTCATTCGAGGGAGCTTACTGTTACAATAGTCCTCTCTCTCATTCCGTGGCTATTCCTTTTCCCATCTGTGAAAAGGGAGGATACACACCCAGATTCAATTATTTCTGACTGTGGTTATAGAAGGAGCACAGGGAACTAAATGTGCATCTCAAGAGATCTTACCCGGTGCCTGGAAATCGCCTTTCTTCCAATCATTAACAAATACCTTTAAGGGGAAATCTGATATTGTCTGAATTCCTTTGAAAAATTAATTACTTTTGAAGTACAAAGTAATGCTTTAAAGCAGGATAGAGGGAATTATTAGGAAGTCAGAGGTATTCTGTGAAAGACAGAATACAGTCAGACCTGAACTGAATCTGTTCAGCACAGCACTACCATGCCACCAGCACCAAGAGTGTAGGGGCAGAGGTAAAACATCTTAATGATTCTTGTACGTTACCCAACCTACCTCACAGAGGAGTGTCTGCTAGAAAGCTGAATTAATGAGGTAATTAGCAGTGAGCCATACTGGCTTATAATTTAACTTTTGCTGGGATTCTTACCTCTTCACAAACAGTCACAATTCTGTGTTAAGATTCCACCATTACACCTCAGGTGCTGATGAAACCCCCCTGCTGGATAGCAATTTCTCTGTAACCCTTTTTGTCTTCACTGGAACTCTGCACTGTGCTCAGCATAACTGGCTTTAAAGTTCTGCTGGGTTTTTAAAGAGGGAAGTCATGCTGTCCAGCAAGATAAACTACTCTATTCTAGAGCTTTGTTTGCCTAGGAGGTGGAGCTGCAATAAAACCATGCCCAAGCAGTTAGGTGCAAGTGTACGATAGTTAACAGACTGCTGCTTTGTAAAAAAAAAAAAACAGAGCATTTGGGTGGAGCAGGAATAATAACTGATAAGCTGGGAATCCTCATAGTCCCCTGAACCCACCAGCTTTGAAACTTCTTTGTCCTCTGGTTCTGTCCTTAGTCCCACTTACAAGCACCACCCCAATGATGCACAGTGCTTCTCTGATGGCAGCCCAGTCTTAAGGCTTGTGGATTTGTAACAGGGATGAAATTTTATTAGATTTATGATATAGTAATGAATCTTGCAACATTTTTAATGCCAAACTGAGGAGAACAGAGCATCCCTGTGATTTCCTCTGCCTGCTGGAGGAACCTGTCTTGGATTTGCATCACAGTAGCGAAATGGAGGAAAGAAAAGGAAGTGTGGGCAAGGCTGTGTCTGGTATTTTCTCAACTGGTATTTCTCTCTTACCCAGAACCCTCAAGAGAAAACTATTACAAGTGGTAAACAGGGCTTTAAATACAGTTGTGTTTACAATTGACTAGGTGGATAAGGCATCTCATTGTGGAGGTTCCACCACTTCCAAAATGAGACAAAATAGTTCTGACTGAAAGCAGCGATCCAACATCTTTCAAATTCTGACACTGTGAGGCAAAAATTACATCAGAAATCTGCAAGAACTATCTAAATGCACTTAAGTACATCTCATTTGGCTGAACTTCAGAAGCTCACAAGCAGTAACAGGTAACTTCAGGTTATGGCTGTGCTATCAGATCTGAATGTGAAGGCTGAAACACACCTGATGCTGTGCAACTAAACAGCTCGTTCTCTCTCTTCTTCTTCCAGGTGAAGAAGATTGCAGCAGAATATTATGATAACCTCCCACATCACCAGTCCTGGATTCGAGTTCTGTGGGACTTTGTTTTTGATGACTCTATTGGTCCTTACTCAAGGGTTAAGAGACTGTGCAAGCTGGCAAAGGAAAGCTAACGGGCTGGTCTGCCTGTGGCAGTGGGGAGTGTTTTTTCATCCACGTGACTTCAGTTTTCTGTGGAAATGGGAGTATCTTTGTGTGTGCTGAATTAACGTTGGTGTATGCTGCTTAGACCAAGAGGATGAGTGACAATGAAGCAACTGAATGCACTATTTTAGACTACTGATACTGTTTAATAAAGGATATTTGTATATGTAACCCTTAGAAGCTAGGTTAGAGTGAATTATGATTAGGTGAACCTTTGGTCTAGGCTTTGAATTAACTTCCTGCGGCACATGTGGCCAAGCCTGAGTTTTGGCCTGGTCTGCAGTGGAGAATGTTTGCTGTGTGTTACATGTGACCGTGTGTGTGTGTGTGTAGTTTAGGACTGGTTTCACTTGATGCCAGATTAGAAGTGGATGCTCTGCGTGCCCAGGAGTGTGGAAGCAGGGAGGACTGGCACGCAGTAGTAAATGATACTCTCTGGAGAACACAAGGGTGCCTTTTGCTCAATGTCTTGTCTAATCTAATAATCTTCTGATAATTGCTAGTAACAGATTTTGTATATGCAATGAAATATGTTTATATTTTTGTATATTTGTATCATTATTTTACTAGCTACTGTTTGACCTTATTCCATGGTTTGTCTAAACCTTTTTGAATGCATTTCCATGAGGATCTAATACTCACTGTAGAGAACTGACAGACCTGAACTGGGGCAGGGAGAAATCCTTCCTTTAGTCTTCCACTCACTGCCCTGATCAGCAGCATGGATGTGCCTCTGGAGAAACTGGCTGGTCCTTTCTCATTGACCTTTTCAACCATATCCATAACGTCACGTTTCTCATCCTTTTCCCCACTGTAAGTCCTTCTGGGAGTGAAGAGTTTCTAGTTTTAATTGTTCCTTGTCAAGATTGTTAGCAATCCTGATCACTTTTCTTGATCTCTATATTATACCCCTCTCTGTGCATAGGACTTAGGACGGTGTGTCAGGGATGTAGAGATGCTGTGGTGGTATTTGTTCCTAACTGCTTTCGTAGTAATGGTAATTTTTTTCTTCTGTCATTCAAGAGGCACTGACTTGGCATTTGGGAAGCATATGATACTCCAGCTGTATAAAATTGTCACTGATGGTGTTAAGAGGATGGAATGTAAAGATGGGGCTGTTTCTCTCCCTACATCTCTTACTTGGTGCTGTTGACCTTAATCTGTCATTTCTGCCCACTGGAAGACACAAATCTTTCCTGCCTGTCCTCTCCAACAATAAATTTGTGGCTATCCTCAATAATTCCATATCATCAGTATCTTCCCAGTACCCTGGAAAGCTGGCAAAGTATTTCTTTCCTTACTAAGTAGTTAAAAGAGAGATCAGCATAGGTGCTCTTGCCTTCTAGCCCTCTAACAGTATTTTGTTTCTTCTGGAAATCCATGGCTGTAACAAAGAAAAGGATTGCTGTGCAGTCTCATCAGTCTATCAAAGTATTCAATTAGATCTGGAAAGCCTGATTTCCTCAATAAACACACTTTTTTTCCCTGCTCCAGAAGCACTGGATCCAGTGAGCCAGTCTGTCCATTCACTAGCCTGGCACACAGCCAAGCTAGCCTGCTGCAATTTGGGTTCCTCCTCCTCCATTTCCCCTTCCTCTGTTTTTCTCACCTATCTGATTTTGGCCAACGGGTAAATAAATACCCAGGTATGCTCAGCAGAGCAAGATCCTTTGTAATACAGGGGATGAATACCAGTTTATTCACAGATATGGTTTTGTGCTTTTGGGTAAGAGGGGAAGAACTGGGCTTCCTCGAACACTTCAGCCTTCAGGAGTTCCTCAGTGAAGAACATAGTTAAGTCATTATGTCTTAATTATTAAAGCTGCTTTTCTCCCAGAGGAAGAGTCATTGATGTGGGAACTTCGATTATGTTATTTGTATCAAGGAACCTCAGTTTTTTATTAATTTACTTCAGTGCTGCTGGCCCTCTGATCACGTATTCAACTTCCTATGTCCATAGCACCTGTTCCTCAATTCTCCTGTCCCATTTAGCAAGTTAATATAAAAACCATAATAAAGATTATACTATCTTCCTTGATTTGACTATTGTCCTTATCCTCTTTGATGAGCGACCTTACGCTGTAGTTCCCTTACTCAGCTGTTTCACAATGCAGTCACCTATATGGTATACGATTACTAGCCCAGCCTGACACAGAGGCTATGATGTAAACAGGGGCCAGCCAAAATTGTCAACTGCTTCTTAACCTGCCTCCCATCAGTATTTCTATCATGGTCCAGTCCCAGCTTGCTTAGCCTGGGCAGCCCCACAGCCCTCTTGATTTGCACTGTCCATCTCAGCAGGAATTTGAAGTGGCTGGAAGCCTGCAGAGCCTACAGATGTGCAGTATGAGCTGAGTTCCAGTGTGTATGGGTGCTGCTGGAGAAGGCTGTGATCCTGTCCTCCGCATGGACACTTGTCCTTGCTACTACCAGTAATATTGGCAGAAGGTGTTTTTTTTCCATAACCACAAGGCATTTGGGTCTGGGTAAAAAGTATGTCGGGGCTGTGTACAATTTTATTCCCTCTGCTTAAAAATCGATCCAGAACTCCTTCATTGTGTGGGCACACTAATGCTCTGGCAAGAAGGCATTATATGACAGGTCAGAGTGGAGATTAATGTCCCCTTAGCTTTCTGCTATGTAAAATACCTCTGTTCTGCCCTGTAGCACTGGCTCAGCAGGCCCACTATGAAAGGATACTCTTCTCTACAGAGGCAACTGGCAAACCAAATTACTGTCTGGGAGGGGGAAATCCTCTGGCAGTGCCATTACTGAAAATAAGCCACCTTGTTCATCCCTGACATTGGAGCTGTAGGTCACTGGGAACCAACAAAGGGCTTGTGATGCCAGGACTGCTCCCGTGCCCTGTCACCCAAACTTCCACCCCTCGCACCTTGCTCCCACTGCTATTAAGTGGCCTTGTGCAAACTTCAGCTTATTATGTCTTAATTACACAAGACCTGCAAAGGTGAAGGAAGAAAGTAAGAAAAATCCATTTACAGCAGCTGGCTGATGTTAACAGAGGGTCACAACATATCCAGGCTTGTACAGTTAGCCCAAATTACAACATGGTTATTACTGACCTTAGGCATAATGCCACATTCCAAGGGAAAATGTGAACCGTGCCAGGCACCAGCTTCCTGTAGCTTAATTAGGATTATGGGACAATTTCACAGAATGGTTGTGATCTGAGAGGCAGCAGTTTTGAAAAGGGCTTGCCATCATCAGGTATGCCATTAATGGGGCTATAATTAGGAAACGCATGAGCTACTGTAAGAGATTTATACAACAGAGTGTTCTGATCTCTGCTGTTACTGATGCTCGTCTGTGTTCTTCATACTGGAAAGACTCCTTGTGGTCCTGGGGTTGCCATTCTCCGGTGCACACGGGTGTCTGCCTGCTTTAGTTCCCATGTGGAAATCTTTATCCCACTGTTTAACCTGTCTCTTGCCTTCTGCTGGCATTAAACATCTAACAAACATCAGGCTCAGTCTGCAGCTCACCACTGCATTAAACTCAGATTACTCCCATTTCTCCCATATTTAATGTACAGCATAACCACACTGTAAAAAAGACATTTCTAAAAGGCAGATCAGGCTGCTTTGAAGAGCGCTGAAGAACATGCCATGGTCCCCAAAACAACACAGTTAACATTTTACAACTAACCACCAAGCACAGCCCATCCTGCCTTCTCTCCTGGGTCTCCTATAGCTGGCCAGCAGTCCCTCCTGCCTGCTGCACTGCTCCATGAGGCCTGGGGGACGCAAGCAGGTGGACAAACATAGCCCCTCCTGGGCTGGTGCACCAAGCTCTGCTCCCAAAATCGCTTCTGGGGCCTGGCTTTTAAAACAAAATCTTCATGAAAGCCTGAACAAGGAAAGGAACTTGGAAAATATTTGGCAGATTTCAGTAGCTGAGCTCCAATCTCTTGCCTTTTGCACGAAATTTTCAAGAAGATGGTATCAAGACGACGTAAAGCTTGTGCCAAACTAAATTAAGCAGAAATTCCCAAGATTTTGCTGGTGGAAATAATGGCTATAAAGAAAATAATGTATGACCTGAAAGATATGACTGTTAAGTGTTTGGTGTCCTGTATGCATATCTTGGATAATGCTCAAGACCTGCACAAGATTAAGAAATGACTTCCCTTATGCCTCTAGTCAGCAGTGCCATGCCAGTGATTTCAGCCTGCATCCTCCTAATGCCCTTGGTAGCCTTGTTCTGCATAAACACCTCCCTTTTACTGCTGGAAGCCTGAAGGAGTGCAGGTGATGGGACCTGTGGGTTTTTTCAGTGATGGCTGGAGATGCAGTGGGACATGTGGTGGTGGCCTGAGAAGAGCTGTAGGCCACTGTCCCTCACTGACTCTGGCAAGAAGCTGCCGAGGTTGTGGCAGCCTGGCTGCAGGAGGTGGTGCTCAGCCAGCGATGAGAGAGGGCTGGGCAGGTGAGAGCCACGTCTTGCTGCGAGAGAAGGCAGAGCTGTGGCCACTGCACCAGCCATGAACACTCAGGTTCTCTCCTCATGCTCTGCAGCACTGGCCAGGCAGAGCTGCCACCCCACAGTGATGCTCGGTCACCTTCCCCTGATCGCCAACCCAAGTGACGTGAAAGTGCAGGGGCTCAAGGGACAAAAGAAACAAAGAAAGGCAGGGCCATGTGGACAATAAACAGTTTATTACCAATATGAACACAGATACTGTGATGCACCGACGTACCATTTTTTAATATTGTGATAACTCTGAGACAAAGAACTTGTTGGCTGACAACTAAACATGTCTCTCTTCTGGTGATGCCTCAATACGTTTCTGTTGGCAAAGGATCTTCATTTACATTGCAGACTACTAGTAAAATTACTTTGAAGTCACCTATCAAAAGCAAATGGTTCACGTGTGTTCTTATCTACTACTAAAAAGAAAGGTAATACATTTAAATAAGCAAATACAAAATACAAAAAAGGCTGACAAATCCAATGTGCAGTGTCAGATGAAATCTAAAAAATCCGGAAATTTAAAATTTAATAATCTTTAGATTAAGACTTTTAAAATGAAGCGAATCCAAGGCAGCAGCAAGCTTCAAAGTGTGCTGAGTCTGCTAATAAAAAGGGTGTAGGAACAAAGACAGTGCCGGTGTCCTCTCTCACCATCTTGCATGACCTTGGTACACTTAGAAATGATCCGATCTTCCTAGCATTCTTAGTACCGTCCAAATGCTTTGCAATCATTATGTTGTACTGATTCTACTCAACTCCTGCCGTATGGCTAGAAAACCAAACCAAAAAGTTAGTGCATAATGTTACATCCAGGGTGATGGAAAATGCTAAGTACAGAGGTTGCAGAAAGTACACGCTGGTAGAAGGATGAGTGGAGGGTAAAAGGATGAGTAAGGGTAAGCAGTCAGCTGTTGGCTTGCAAACTGCAGTGCTACTTTAAGAAGTTGCATCTGTGGTGTATGTGAATGCCTTATTTTGCACTGGAATGAACTAGGGAGGCTCTGAGGGCCAAGCTGCTGGGACGGTAGCATTTGGGCAAGGGCCTCTTCAACTGCAAACTGCCCCGAGGTTTTGTGAGCACACAGGTCTAGAGCAAGGGGACAGGGAATGGATTTTAGCTGTTTTACAGTCTCCTCTTTTGCCCTTCTTTGTAATCTAAGGTGGAGAGTACAGCATGTGGACATGCACCCTTCATATGCCCTAATGTGGACTTCAAATAGGAATTTCACTGTGCATTTCAATAGTGGCCCTGAAAAATACTTTCAGTTGTATATTGCAAAGCAATTTATAAAAAAACTAATGATACATTTGGTACTGCCGCTGTATTTTTCAATGAATTATAAAAATGCATGGCTATTTGGAAAGCTGTGACCAAATGAAGGTTCTAAACTAGCTCTTCAAGCACAGAAAGCCTACAGAAGATTTTTGGGAAGGATTTTCAGTGAGCTACCTTTGTCCCCTCCTCATCCTGGACCTGTGTGGCCAGCTAGTTACAAGATTTCACGCTTGCTGATTGTGATAAATTGATGTGCCATGGGCTATGGGCAGGCCCTTTCTCACCCTCCCAGCTGTGAGAAACACCAGCCAGTGAATTTCTCATAGGTTGGTGGTAAAAATGCTCATCAACAGCATAATAAAGGACGTAAACACAATGTTATGGTCAGAGCTCAGATAAGGTAGATGCTTGTTCTTCAAATGTGTGTATAAATCAGAACTGCTAAGAGAAGTCTGAAAACACAAGGGAACTCTCTGCAGT